ACAAGCTCGACCAATTAGCCCCCGACATCAATGAGTGCATTCAGCGTGCTGAGGAAGCACGTCAACTGGCCCGTGTGCACATCCGAACTCAACAGTGCGCAGATGCACGGTGGTACAACATCCGCCATCGAGAAGTTAATTATGAACCTGGTGACCAAGTTTGGGTTTGGACACCCATTAGGCGGCGAGGTCTCAGTGAGAAACTCTTGAGGAAGTACTCTGGACCTTACAAAGTACTCAGACGTGTGAGTGACGTGAACTACGAAGTGGTTCCAGACGGAGGCTCACCATCATCCCAGCGCAGGTTACCACGCCCAGAGACTGTACACGTAGTCCGCCTAAAACCATACTTTACGCGGTGATGCGAATTTTCTTCTTGTGCCAGTGAACTCTTCATGTGAACAGTGAATGCTGCTTATTTCCGATTACCAGGCCCAGGACGCATTTTGTATCGTGCACTAATTTGTTTAATATTTTTTTATGTTACCTACTTCGACCCACTGCTGTGCACACTTTTGTTTGAGCATTGGGTCGATGCTCTCTCTCTTGGGAGGAGGAGTAATGCCACCTGGTGTTCTGTGCCAGTGAACAGTGGGTCAGTTCTGTGCCGGTGAACGAGGAAGACGAAGACGAGCAACCCGTGCCAGCGGAGACGTCCTTCTTTGTCTTTGAGATTTTTGACAGTCACGTCCCTTTATACGTTCCTTCGAGCTCTTAGCGCATGACAATATTATTAGGTTGTCGGGTTTTACATCATATATAGTTTTACTAGGTTATTAGAGAGTTTTCAAATAGGGTCCCCAAAAGTTTGGGGCCCCAAAGTCTTTTGTGTATGAACGCTTTGGGTCAAGCAGGAGCGATGAGATTTCGAATAGTGTCTGCCGCTCTTTGGAAAATCCCCCTATTCTTAGTCACTCTAATCTTGGCCGAGAACCGTCACTTCAGTGGGTGCCGTCACGTTTGCCTCACCCAAAACATTTGGGCAGGCTTCGCGCGGTCTGGGTTTTGCGCATGCGCAGTGGCTTTGACGCTATTTCTTTGGGGCCCGTATTCGAAAACTCCCTACGGAAAAACGCAGCGGCAGAATTCACTTTCATTTTTACGAGGATATGTTAACCTCAGTCTAACGTACGGCAAGAAGCCTTTTTTTTATTCATCTCCGATCACACTTTTGCGCAATGAGTGAGGATCTTATTCATGACATCGCGCACAGCAGCTCAAAACCATGGTGCTGCCAATGGTGTACCTCGTTTAAAACTGCAGTGCACATGCCACAATGGAAATTGAATCAGTTCACATCCATGCCATGCAAATATTTCTGAAAGTGCCAGTCATCGTGTACATTTGAAACGTTCGATTTCGGAAAAGATCAGATTTTTTTATGGCTGTCATCTACGTGGGCGACGCCCGATGCGTGCTAGTCGCGTCTCTCAGTACTTTAAATAAACTTTCTCCACCCACCCATCTATGACGAGCTAACGTCCACACTCTTGAGAAGTGACCCTTCCGCGACCTCCTTCTTTCAAAATCCGTGAATTCAGAACATAGCAATGTCAAAATTCCTGTGAAAAGAATGCAGATACGCAGCTCTGCTATGCAGAAAGATGCCGCCGGCGGAACTTTCTCGCCAACAAGCCCCTGCTCCGAAAGAGGGAAAGGTGGGTGGGGTGCCCGCAGTAACGTCACGCTGTTTACAAACAGGGAGAGGTCTATTGGTGCTGGGCCGCCTGCGTCGCTCAGTCAGCTCAGCTTGTTTACTTCGTGGTTGTGCTTTGTTTTTTCTGCGATCTACTGCCTGGCGAAGCATCAGCTCTGCAAGTTCGCAGGGCTTTCTTGCAATTGTACCGTTCTCTTCTTCTGATTAGACATTTTCTCCATCCGACCTTCACTAGTTGTGTTTGTGCGAGGTTGCAATGGATTGGCGATAAAAAGTTACTGCGCGACCTATGGCTTCCACAGCACTTACGGTCGCGATGAGGTCGCTTTTCACAAGTTTTCCCGGGATCAGAAGATGGCTGCAAAATGAGCCGCTGCAGTTTAAAGAAAATAGTTCAAACCTACGAGAGGAAGCGCGCTGTGGCAGTCACGAATCTGGCAAATTTCGAGGCAGCAGCAGCACTCCTCCTCTTTCCCCATTTGCACGCAGTGCGTGCATGAGCACTGTGGGGGTGCTGACACCCCTTGTAAAGTTGTTTGCGCTGCGTGGCGCACGTTTCTCGCCCCAAAGCCGTATTTAGGGGTTACAACTGCTGTATTGGTTTGGTGATCGGGCAACGCATGACACAGGAGTATGATGCGAGCAGAGACATATCTTTATTGGGCGGCCTTTATATGCCGAGCAGAACGAGAAAGCCTGCGAACCTTTGCCGCACAACCATATCTTGAGGGGGTGGGTTTGACACGAGGCGCACGCTGCGCAAGACACGATACATCCTCCATGCTGCATAGAACAATGGAAATCCAAGAGCATACATTTAAAATGTGTAAAGTTTCATGCACGGCACTTGAACAAAGTGTTTGTTATAAGCTAAGCGTTTAGGCGCCTTGCGCTGTCGCTGTAATCTCCGTAGAATTGGCGATGCGTCTACGCCCGTGCTCGGTGCCGGATCACTGGACCCCGGCAAGGGCAAGGTCATTGGCCCCGCCTGCGCCGTTGTAGGCTGTGATTCATCCTCGCTGACTTCAGGAAGGTCCGGGCAGAAGGTCTCGCTGGGTAGCAGCAAGTGTCTACGACTTCATCGTAGTTGCCACCCCTGCTCTGCTATGACGTCATATGACCTGGAGTGTCTGGACGGTCTGATAACTTTAGCTTTGGTTGTTCAGGCTCCCTTAGAACGTATGCGAACCGTGGCCCTTGTTTCCAGCGGTGGTAGCAGTCCTCCCGGACGGTCGGTCTAGGAGCGCTTCATGACGGCGTGGTCCGGTCCAGTCCCCACATCCGGCTAGGTGTTGCGAAATTTTCTGCCTTGTAATATCTCCACTGGGGCCCGTCCGCACTCTAGTGGAGTTGTCCTGTAAGAAAAGAGACCAAGCCAGAAATCTTGCTTTGCTTCATGCACTTTACCGTGATGGCGGCTGCGGCACCTGTTGCTTGTTTTCGGTAAAATAAAGTTAATTACGTTGGTTTATGCAAGTTTTCAACTTGATTTTTGATTTTTCCGCACGGAACCACGTATCGTGACACCATAATCTCGTTTTTTTTTAATTTGCCGATTATTCAGCACGAGCAGCGCTTGACGGCCCACTAATATTCGTACTGCTAGAAGTAGAATATATAACCGCGATGAGATATAGATGAAATCAAAGAGAATCGGCGGGCTTCAAGCAGCCAAAATCCGCGCAAGCGTGAGTTCGAGTCTGGTGCTGCTATTGACGCTGGTGCTTGCTTGATTTCACGGGTCTTTCGTCGTCGTCTTTCCTTAACAACATTAGTCCCGGGGGAATAGAGGAGCCATCCTGGCGACTTAAGGTGTTGGTAGTATAGCCGGGTCCTAATAGGGCTTGATGCGAGCAACGTGGACGATTTTTCGGCCATGACGACGCAAGGTGCCTGATGGTGTGAAGGGCTCGACCTCGTAATTGACGGGATAAGTCCGAGCAAGAATGTGGTAGGGGCTGTGATTGCGGGCCAATAACTTGGAGGACAGGCAAGGAGTATTCGGTGGGACCCGGAGCCAAACTAGGGCTGCGGTTTAGAAAGCAGTATGAGGTCAGTCGTCGTCACGTTTAAGTTCCTACTGAACGCCAAGTCTATGATGCCACCGTTGATCGTGGTTGGAAAATCGAGATACAGACTTGTCATCGAGTAATTGTTCAGAATGTGGCCAACCAACCAGCCACGTTAAGGTCACCCACCACCACAACCGGAAACGAGGGACGCGCGCGTACAGACACACTCTCCATCGCCGCAACCATCTGCTCTAAGACGGCAACTCCCGAGAGGCTCGGGGCCAGGTAGACGATCACAACCAGGACGGCATCGCCAGAGTAGGCACTTGTGTAGACGGAGGCCTACGGCGAGTCGTATCTGAGCGGCGAAGTACACATTGCATGCGAGAGGATGTTGGCGTAGACGTGTCCAACCAAGCACACGCCGCAGTACTCGCCCCGGCTTCCACTCCGGGTGAAGGAGACGGGTCGTCAGTGGGACACGTTCGAGGTGATGCATCTGGAGCGAGGTCGGCGCACTGTGAGACCAGGAGTTGGGTCCAGTCCTGCTGTCGCCTGAGGGGCGGTAGCGCTTTAGGAAGACGTCCACTCCACCAGCCCTTCTCTCAGCCAGGTCCCGGATCACGCGATTGTAGCCACTCAGGGAGACATCGGAAGCGCAGTCACCGGAGGAGCGGTTCCAGGTCGCCGTGAGGCAGAGGAGATCAACTCTGGAGAAAACGCGGTCTCTGGCAACGTCCAGTGCATGCGCCGAGAGAGAGCGGACGTTTAGGAGTGCGAGCGTGAACTCACTACAGCCACCCTCGCACACCCCTGCGGAGCTGCTGGTCCCTTAGAGCGGAGAGGTAGCGCTGAGTGAAGGTGACGAGACGGTGATTCTAGAGCCTCTGAAACTCATCGAGCATGGGTTTGTCGGGGTTGCCTTGCTTGTGGTAGAAGGTGTGATCTCCCTCGGCGTTGATGAGGTAGAGTCCGTTGAGGTTGGTACAGTGAGAGAGCGCAACGTAGACGAGCTTCTGCGGGTGCGCCTTGGAGTAGTCATACACGACCGAGGCGCAGGTTCCCCCCTGACACTTGTGCACGGTGATGGCGCTGGCCTGGACGAGGGGAAACTGCGTCCGTTTACAAGCTATGCCGGCGTTTCGATCTACCGTGACGGTGGCTGACTGCATCTCGATGGGTATCCAGTTCTCCCTGGTTACGTCGTAGCCGTTGGAATGGGCCTCGTGAATGGCCCGAGCGGCTCGCGCACGCGTGAGCTTTCCGGTACCGGGCACATCGAACTCGAGCCACAGTCGCTTCACGCACGTCTCTTTACCCTCGTCTCCTTCTCATTCTTCATCCACTCCATCTCTATCATCGGGCAGTAGGCCGGCGAGCTCACACAGGTGCAAGACTCGAACCGCACCATTGACCAGACCATCCACGAGATCGATCTTGTGAGTAATCATGTAGGGCTTGCCAACCACGGCCATGACTTCCCCGGGCAGATTTGCAAACTCGCTGGGAACCATGCGGGCAACCCTGCGCTTGGCATTCTCGAGCAGATGTGGCATTATAGAGCCGAGGTACCGATCACGCGTGCGAGGCACCATGAAGTCATCCTGCGAATGGGCCATGGTCTCGTTGAAATTCGTGACATGGGCGTTCGAGTCGAAAATGCGCACGGCCGAGGGCGCGCGCTCGGCGGCTTCCTCGGCCGTGACGAACCTGAGAAGCTTTACTTCTTCAGGCTCGAGCACGCGGCCATCCCCGATCTTGGTGAGGACCGCGGAGAAGGTGACGTCGGACTGGCGCATGACTCTCGCGAGCGGGAAGTATTCGAGATGATGCCAGGTGGCAGTGCTTAATCCAAGGAGACCATCGCCCCTGCGGGGCCGCTTGGAGATCTCGCGGGCTCGCACGGGCGGCAACTGCCGCAGGTCCCTGCCGAGGATGACGTCCAGTCTACTGAAGGGTTCGGTGAGTCGCTGCGTGATCTGGCGCAGACGGCAATCAACCAGTTTGAGTTGGTCGGCGGACATCATACTGACCTCGTTTATGATGACGCACTTGACTCTGCGGAAGGCACACCGGAAGGTGTTCAGGTCACTAGGTCAGAGTCCACCATCCCTCATGACTCCGAGGCGGGCGTCCTGCCGGTTTGCACGGGCAGCCCGCACGAGTTTGAAAGCACTGTGGATGGTGGTTCTACCCAAAGCAACGGAGGCCTTTCACGTACTGGCGCAGATAACGTACGAGTTGTAGACGGAAGGGACGGAGGAGGAACCGTATTTCCAGCCAACGGCACCGCAGCAGTCCGCACAGCGGTTATACACGTCTATGGCGAGCTTGAGCACGAAGGTCTTACCACAACCCGTGGGTCCCGTAAAGGAGACCTGCAGCGGAGGCCACCCCGGCGTGGTCTGACGGTGCAGAATCTCGCGCAGCAGCTCGTACTGCTCGGGGTTGGTGCTACACATCATCGAGACGTACTCTTCTCGTTCCATGATTCCGCGCTGTTTGTGTACCGCAGCACACGGCGTACTAACCTCCTTGAGCAGTAGGAGCAGGCGCTTGTTAGGCAGCACGTCCGCACTAGCATCCGCATCTCGTCGTTCGGGGATTTGTACCCGCGCACATCCTTCATATGATGATGATGATGATGATGATGATGATGAATCCACAGACATGGCTCGTACCCACTCAGGGGGATCGGCCAAGAATCGATGACTTAATTAAGTAAGTTTTTTTTCTTTTTTTAAATATCGAAACAACCCACCAGAAAAAAAGAATGAAAAAAGAAAAGACACCCTAGTCAGAATGAATGGAGTGCAATAGTTGCTTGTCACTCGTGCAGATAAGACAACTATTCATTACCTTGAATAAGAATCAGGATAGTTAAACAATGCTCTCGTGTTCGTTGGAATTATTTTTTTTCGTGATTAATAATCACGCAATTAAAAGCTTAATTCTTTTAATTTCATTCAGGTGCTTGCAAACTGCGTAGAAAACGTTCTCGTGGCTGAAGCCCAGATCGTAAGCACCGAAGGAAAGTATGTTTTCTATAGTGAAATTCAACCCCAGGCTAGCAAATGGGAGGGCTAAGAATGTTTTCCTAAGCAATTTGTATCGGCGACATGATAAAAAATAGTGCTCTATTGTTTCCAATTCTGAACAAAAGTTGCATAGTGGTGATATCGCCAGACCAGCCCTATGTGAATAGAAATTTAACGAGGGGACACGACATCGAAATCTGGTTATTATGGTTTCCAACTGTTTTGTAGGACACCAATGACTTTTCCATGGAAATCTTAAGTGAGTAAATTCTGGTGTTGACAATATTGCTTCCATAGCGTCTGCACTGAGCGCGAGCTTTCTGTATCTTGTCGCCGTTATAGTGGCCACTTCGGGAAGGACTGATAGTACTGGCCCTTCCAATGCTGTTCGTGCTAGAGAGTCGGCGATTTCATTTACTTCTAAGCCGCAATGACCGGGTACCCATACTAATTTCAGTAGCTGCAGCTGAGGAGGAACTAGCATAAGGAACGTCTTTAAGGCCATCGATTTTGTTGACGCCGTAATCGACGTACATACTGACAGGGAATCCGTTATTATGATCGCATTAGCGGCATTCAAAGGTAGCTTTCGCAGCGCAAGAACTATTGCCAACAGCTCAGCTTCAAAAACTGGGGTGAAATCCGGTAATCTTAATGAAAAAGACCAGTCAAGCGAATGTGAGTATATACCTACACCTGTCTTTTCATTCAATACTGAAGCATCTGTGACTATAATGTTATTCGTTTCCGCATGTGCAAGATAATCCTGTAGTCGGCTATTTAAGACCCTATAGGATTGTAATTTGGCCTTAGAGGGAAAAATGTCATCAAATTCAATCTTAAGAATTTGATTTGTATCCTGCGCAGCAATCACATCTCGAATTTTTACATTTAACCAATCTAGTTGTTTCTGGACAAAAGCAATTTGAGGTGTTCGAAAGCGTGGCCAATGGGCAAGAAAAAAGCTGTCTGGGTCATTTATAAAATCATACTCAGATCGTCTTGGCGCATAGCTATAAAATTTCAGAAACGTCTGAACCGTTAGGATACGAAAACGGCAAGGCAATGTAGGTAATCGTGCTTCCTGATACAAAACATTGTTTCTTGCAAACCTCGGAAGTCCTAGACACAATCTCAAGGCTTCTCGTTCCAGCATAACTAGAGGCTTTATTTTATAGGCAGGGCCACCTGAGAACAATACGCACCCGAATTCTAGGATTGGTCGCATATACATTTTATAGATCATCACCATTGTGCTTCTGCGTAGACCATATCGGCGGCTGCTCAGTCTACGAAGAATTCCAAAGGCGCGTTGTGCTTTAGATGCCATACTTTCTATGTGAGGAGTCCAGTTTAGGTTGGCATTATAAGTAACTCCCAAATATTTAAGAGATTCTACCTGTGGAATGGGCTCTTGTTTATAACATATTGAAACTGAGATGGGATCGGATTACGGGAATATCAATACTGCACTCTTATTTACATTTAAGGTCATGCAGACTGCATCTAGCCATCTCTCCAGCATATTGACATATCTCTGTAGCGTTTGATATAAAGAATATATGTCACTATGTGCCGTGAAAAATGCAATATCGTCAGCATATACAAACACCTTCACGTCCTGGCAATGCGGTATAGTGCTCATTAAGATGTTAAATAGAACTGGCGATAATACAGCGCCTTGGGGGACACCACGTGTTTGTTTGCACTTTGACGATGCGCAACCATCCTTAAAGCAATAGAACTCCCTTCCTCTCAAAAATTCCCTCACCCACGCCAATATATATTTTGGGAGATTGTGGCTCTCTAATATGTCTAATAATACTGAATGTTCTACATTATCGTATGCCTTAGCAATATCCAATGTCACTAGTGCCGCATGTTGTCTTTTTTTGCGAGCAAGCTGAATGCGGCTTTCTAAATCTGCGTGTGCACACCAGATTGAACAATCTGTTCTGAAGCCAATTTGATTTGGATTTAATATCGAATTTTCCTCCATCCATATTATAACTCTTTTATTGAGCACTCTTTCGATGAGCTTCACCATATTAGATGTAAGAGAAATGGGTCGAATGTTTTCTATGACATATCCGAATCCTTGTCTTTTTTGTATCGGCACTATTTTAGCTAATTTCCACTCATACGGAATCCAGGCATATTTTAACGAATAATTTACAGTGTTTAGTAGGTCACATGGTGATAATTTGAATAATATTCTTATCATATCAGTTGTGATTCCGTCCGGACCAGGAGCTGACGAGGGCAAACCTTGTATCACTTGTGCTAACTCTTCCTTTGTAACTTCAGTAACTTCAATCGTTGACGCTGGTTTTTGTGGATCGTAAGGCTTAGTTGATGTAAATCTACACTCCAGGCCTTTAGCTATGGTTTCTAAGGATTTCTTTGTTTCTTCCAAGGACATAATCTCAAACCCTATATTATTTTGAGATGGCATCATTTTACGTGATCTCATGAACCTGAACAGCGCCTTTTTGTTACAAGCTTTTGAAAGGTAATCATAATGTTTTCTATCATATTGTTCCTTAGCTAAGGAGACCGTGCGTTTGAAAATTGCAGCGTGATACTTGTAATCAGACCAGTTTTGAGGGCACTGGTTATACATAAGTTTTTTCCAAGCTGCCTTTCTTCGTCGGAAATCCCGGGCACAGTCCGAGTTCCACCACGGACTGTGGATTGTGCTCTTTGCGGATTCCACAACGAATTCTGCATTTTTATATGTTCTTTTGATCAGTGCACTTAGTCTCATGGCTTTTGTATCTTCTTGCTCTTCAGAATGAGCTGCCAAAGCAGATTCTAAATCTTTCTTAAATTTGGTATAATTAATAAACACTCGAGTCTGAGAGCCTGACATTATAACGTGGCAAGCAATCTCGAATAATATTGGCAAATGATCACTGTTAGTTGCACAATCACATGCACTCCACGACAAACTAGTGAGTGATGAACTCACAAAGCTTAAATCTAAGGCTGAACGAGACCTATCACTAATGTAAGTGGCTGTTCTTGAATTCAGGCAACACAAGTTATTATCCGCTGTCCACTCCCACAATCTCTTACCGCATTGATCAGTTCGGAAACCCCAGCACGTATGATGAGAATTGAAATCGCCGATTAGAATTTTATTTTAATAACTAGAAGTCACTGCAGCGTCTAAACATCGAGTATCTATTACACCTTTAGGAAAGTAGGCATTCACCACCAAAAAAGGCATGCAGCCTGGTAAGGTTATTTCTAAGGCGAGAATTTCACTGTCAGGTGACATGAGCTTATACGCAATTTTTGCTTTGAGACTTATTCTATTATTAATAAAAAATGCCAAACCTCCACCTTTCGATGGACGGTCTAGACGGAAAGATCTGAATCTATTTAATTGAAAAGACTGATGCATTGAAAGCCAAGTTTCTTGCAGTGCAATAATATCTGGAGAAAATTTCGATGCCAAATATATTAGATCAGTTGCTGCAGACTGAATTGATCGGCAATTCCAATGAAGAATTTTAAGTGACCCTATTTTAGCTCTAAAATAGCCTCAGCGATGGCCTTGTTTAGAACATTTTCTTTAAGAAAATCAGCTTTAGACAGGGTGTTCTGGTACTTTTTGGTTTTTGAATCTACAGGTGCGATGCCTTTTTTTGTATAAAGGGGATCTCGAGCGCTTTAGCGATCGGGGATCCATCTCCATTTCGTCTGAGTCCTCCACTTTCTTGGTAAGCTCGCATTGAGATACGCTACCTTCCTCTACTGAATCTGCAGCTACCATAGGTTGCTGTGGCGTATCGGAGCCATACTTCTTTGAAATTTTAGGGTAGTCACGAATGTGAAGGGCTTCCGTAGCCTGATGTGGCGTAGCAGAGTCATACTCCTTTGCAAACTCTGAGGAGTCACTAATGTTACGTGGTGCACTGTGGTTGTTTTCCGCTGTACCCAACATTTGAGCCATCTGGTTCGATAGAATCTGGGCCAAGGACTCACAAATATTCCCAGCGATGCGCTCCATTGCCTTCTCCACTGCCTTCTCAATCGCTTCCGCAATAGGGACAGAGAGAGCTTCCATTGTTGGCATATTACGAGCTGTAACACCGGCGTAGCCTTGTGTTCGTGCTTGAATTTCAAGTGCCGCTTCCTTCCGTGAACACCGTCTTCGTTCTACTATCTCTAGAATTTGCAGTTCACGTACCTTTGCCGAACAACTAGAGCTATCGGCCGCATGAGCTTCGCTACATAGCAACACTTTTCTTTATCACTCAGACAGTCGCTAGAATTGTGACCTTCCCCGCATACCTTACACCTGACCGCTGACCTACAACCTTTCATTGTGTGACCATAACGCCAGCACTTTATGCATTGGAGCGGACGAGGAGAAAGCGGCTCTACTCTGTAAATTAAAGGCCAAGCCTTAATTTCTGATGGTCGGGCTGATCCCGAAAAGG